AGCAGCAGTAGCAGTAGCACTAGCAGCAGCAGCAGCAGCAGTAGCAGTAGCACTAGCAGCAGCATCAGCAGCAGTAGCACTAGCACTAGCAGCAGCAGCAGCAACAGTAGCACTAGCACTAGCAGCAGCAGCAGCAGCAGTAGCACTAGCACTAGCAGCAGCAGCAGCAGCAGCAGTTATACTGTTGGTAGGCTGCAATCTCTTGATCGATGATGGAGACAGCTGAGACAAGAGACAGCAGCAGAGATTCTGCATGCACCACCCTCTCCTCTCCTTGGCCTCTCGTCAGCAGCACAAGTGCTGCGCGCATCTCTCTGCAGCAGCAGCAGCAGCAGCAGCAACAGCAGCACATCAGTTGCAGCAGCTGCATCATTGTGAGCAGCACGCGCATCCGAAGCAGCAGCAGCACCACCACCACCACCAGCATCAAAATCACCAGCAACAGCAGCAACAGCAACAGCAGCAGCAGCAGCAGCAGCAGCAGCAGCAGCAGCAACAGCGGCAGCAGCAGCAAAGCTGACCTGAGGCAAGGCTTGAGCTGCTCCTCCACGAGGTCTTCGCTGCAGAGAGTAATGACTGCATCAACTGGGGGCTCCTCTTCGCTGAGGCTCTGCTGCAGCTGCTGCAGCACTTGCTGCCGCTGCAGGTGCTGCTGCTGCTGCTGCATGAGAGACTCGGAGACCTCCAAAGAAGTAAATAGTGGACTGTCTGGGCATGTTCTTGTTGTTGCTGCTGCTGCTGCTGCTGTCGCTCTTGTTGCTGCTGCTGCTGCTGCTGTCTCCACGCGAGACGCAGTACACGTACACCCCACAGGGCCTGCGGAGTCAGGCCGATGAAAGCTGCTGTTTGAGGCCTCCGGAGCTGCTGCTGCTGCTGCTGCTGCTGCAGGCGGCGGCGGTGCTGCTGCAGCTGCTGTTGCGCGTGCTTCTTTTGCAGCTAAGTATGAGGAGATTCTGCTTCGATGTCTCCTTCCAGCAGCAGAAGCGGTTGAGGGGCGTGGAGGTCTTGCTGCTGCACCCAGGGATCTCCTGTTTGCTGCAGCAGCAGCAGCCCTTGCTGCTGCTGCTGCTTGGTGTGATGCTGCTGTTAGACGCAGCAGCGCTGCTGCACAGGCCCTATCAACTGTTTGCGTGTCTCTCTCTCCCCGTCTGCTGCTGAGAGCAGCACTGACAAGGAGAGAGGCCTCGCTGCCGCGTGAAGAGAGGGGCTGCTGCGCCTCCATGCTGCTGCAGCTCCTAGCAGCAGCAGCAGCAGCAGCAGTAGCAGCAGCAGCAGGTTCTGTGCTGCAGCCATCAAGGCCTCCCGAAAGAGACCCCACATTGGAAGAGGGCTCAGTAAGCAAGCAGCTGCTGACAGCAGCAGTGCTGCAGCAGCAAGTGTCTCCTCGAGGTGTGCTGCAGGTGCAGCCTGAGTGAAGCAAACACGTGCCCTTATTGCTGCTGCTGCTGCTGCTGCTGCTGCTGCAGCATGCGAGGCCCCCCTTCGTAGATGAAGGCTCCACAGGCTTCTCCATCCCCAGCAGCCGCAGCTGTTCTTGAAAGGGGTCTTCGCACTGCAGGCGCTGCAGCACGGGGGCTTCTATTGAGCGTGCAGCAGCAGCAGCAGCAGCAGCAGCACCTTCTGCAGCAGCAGCTGCTGCTGCTGCTGCTGAATGCCGCTTTGTTGCTGACGGGGGATGGCGCATCGAGTTGTACGCCAGGCGCTGCAACGGAGACGCACGAATAAGGTGCCTGCTCACAGCAGCAGCAGCAGCAGCAGCAGCAACAGCAGCAGCAGCAGCAACAGCAGCAGCAGCAGCAACAGCAGCAGCAGCAGTGGCGATTGGCTGTGGGTGTTTGCAGCTGCGTCTCTCCTTCTTTATCGTCGACAGCCTCAACTCTCTTCTCTCATGCGTAGCAATAAACAGGGGCTGGAAAGGAGTCAGCAACTTCTTAATACACTCTAATCAGGGTTTAGGGTTTAGGGTTTAGGGTTTACGCAAAGAGACTGTGCCGTGTCCAGGACAACGGCGGCCGCAGTTGGAAGTCTTCGTCCCCCTCTGCAGCAGCAGCAGCAGCAGCAACAACAGCAACAGCGACAGCGACAGCAGCAGCAAGAGCAGCAGCAGCAGCAGCAACAAGAACAGCAGCAGCAGCAAACGGTAGAAGGCGCCTTCAAGAAGCAGCAGGCTGTATACTCGCTTCTTTGAATTATTAATTTGTTTGTATTTAGGGTTTAGGGTTTAGGGTTTAGGGTTTAGGGTTTAGGGTTATAAATTAACTTAATTAATTAAATAATTAAGTTAATTTATTGCGCTGTCTTTATTATTTATCTTCATTTTACATACACCTGCTGCTGTCTTTGCTTGATCTATTTAAAATATTTATTTTAGTCATATACACCTCTTATTTATTTATTTATTTATTTATTTATTTATTTATTTATTTATTTATTTATTTATCTTTACTTCGGTGTATGTGCTGTTCGTCTCCTTTCTGTCTCTGCTGCTGCTGTTCGTCTCTGTTTAATGTCTGCTCTGTCTCCTCACCCAGCAGCAGTGTCTCTACACCGGGCTCCACAGCAGCATCAGCAGCAGCAGCATCAGCAGCAGCATCAGCAGCAGCAGCAGCAGCATCAGCAGCAGCAGCAGCAGGCTGCGAGCGCCTAAGGGCCTCGAGGCTGATGGTGAGGGGGTAAGCTGTCTCCTTTCTCTTCTCCACAGCTTCAGACAGTCGTGACAAGGCCCCTTCTGCTGCTGCTGCTGCTGCTGCAGCAGCAGCAACAGCAGCAGTCTGTTCAGACAAAGGAGACACCTTGCAAACCCACTTCCGCTGTACGTACACTCCGCTAGTTTACTCGCCCAATTGCTAACTGCCAACTAGCTTGCTAGCTAGCTAGCTAGCTATGCATCTAGGTAGATATCCAGCTAGCTGGCTGGCCAGCTAGCTAGCTAGCTAGCTATGCACCTAGGTAGATATCCAGCTAGCTGGCTAGCTCGCTAGCTAGAAAGGTAGCTGTATAGCTGGCTAGTTGGCTAGCTTGCTCTGGCTAGCTAGCCGTCAGCTCTACCTAGCCAGCGACTAGCTGTATCTAACTAGCGACTAGTAGCAGCTAGCTAGCGACTAGCAGTAGCTAGCTAACAGTAGCTAGCTAGATTCAGAAGCTGTAGCTAGCAGGCGAGTAGCTGTAGCTAGCTAGCCTGTCCCTGAGGGGTTTTGTGCTTGCCTGGGTTTGCGTGCTGCTGTCTCCTTTCTCATTTTCAGTGTCTCCTTTGTCGTTTTCGGTGTCTCCGTTGTTGTTGCTGCTGCTGCTGCGCTCAAGGGCCTCAGCCAACGCCCCCTCTACAAAATGCTGCAGCGCCTCCAACTCTGTGCTCACTCCACTCAACGGCCCTAACTGCAGCAGCAGCAGCAGCAACAGCAGCAGCAGCAGCAACAGCAGCAACAGCAGCAACAGCAGCAGCAGCAGCAACGGCAGTTACATACGGGTTTTAGATGCAGCAGCAAAGGGCGCAGCAGCACAAACGGCAGGCAAACAGCAGCAGCTATTTGCAGCCCCTGCTGCAGCAGCTTAAGTGCTGCTGCTGCCGCACTCCTTTGTGTGTGCAGAGCAAGTCAGTTGCAGTTGTTGCTGCTGTTGCTGCTGTTGCAGATGCTTCTACTACAAGCTGCTGCTGCTGCTCCATCCGTTTCTTATACTAGCTTTACTGCTACTCCTAATTACCACTGCTGCTGCTGCTGCTGCTGCTGCAGGTAGAACTACCACTGCTGCTGCTGTTGCTGTTGCTGCTGCCACTTGTCCTACTATTGTGCTGCTCTTGCTGCTGCTGCTGCTGCTGCTGCTGCTGCTGCTCACTCGCGCCAGCGAGAGGCTGTAGAGGGCCCCCGCTTTAGCTGCCAGGGCCTCCAGTTTTGCTGCTAGAGGGGGTCTCCTCCTTTCTGTTTGTTTGTCTCTTTTAGGCTTCAGCTGCTGCTGCAGCAGCAGCAGCTTAGCTGACTCCAACTGCAGCAAGACAGGCGGGCGAAGGAACAGCGCGTGCAGCAGCAGCAGCAGCAACAACAACAACGGGGCCACGAGAAGCCACAGCAGCTCCCCAAGACAAAGAGCAGCAGCAGCAACAACAACAACAGCAGCAGCAGCAAGAGTCGTTCGTTTGCTTCCTATGCCCATTATGTGCTGCTGTGCAGAGCGGTTTGTTCTAAGGAGAAGTTTGAAGCAGCAGCAGCAGCAGCAGCAGCGGCAGCAGCAGAGTTTCTTTCTCAGGTGTCTGTACACTGACAGCTGTCTTTGCATGCGCATACATCTTGTTGTTATGCTCGGCATCTTCTTGTGTTTTCTTTGCTTCTGCAGATGCAGGTGCAGATAGAGGGCTCCCTTCAATAAAAAGAGATTGGCAGCGCTTCTTCTGAGCCCTGATAAGACCCTTACTGCTGCTGCTGCTGCTGCTGCTGCTGCTGCTGCTGCTGCTGCTGAGGGGCCCCCAGTGGGTGAGGGCCACCGTCTGACTCCTGGGGCGCTGCAGCCGCAGCAAATCGCCTGGGGGTTGGAGGAGGGACCCCCCTGAGGCTGCTTGAGGGCGCGACATGTGCTGTAGCAGCAGCAGCAGCAGCAGCAGCAGCAGCTGCTGCTGCTGCTGCTGCTGTTACTGTTGCCGCTGCTGCTAGAGAGGGAGAGGGCGCTGGACGCCTAAAGAAAGTGCTTAAGGAGCCAACCCTAACATCCTCTGAGTAGTCCCTTTTGAAGTGTATCTAGGGTTTAGGGTTTAGGGTTTAGGGTTTAGGGTTTAGGGCTTGGTGTTTGCGGTGTCTCTGTCTCCTCCTGCGTCCTTTTTGCTGTCTCCTTTTTTTGTTTTGTTGGGTTGTAATACACAAACAAACAAATAAACAAATAAACAAATAAATAAATAAATAAATAAAATCATAAATAAATAAAATTATAAATAAACAAACAAACACCATCACCCCCTGGCGGCCCCAACAATCGGTGTGCGTTTGTATGTCTCTTCAGCAGCAGCAGCAGCAACAGCAGCAGCAGCAGCAGCAGCAGCAGCAGATGCATGCAGACAATGCCTAATAGGAAAAATCTAATTAAACAGCAGCAGCAGCAGCAGCAACTCCTTTTCTTGCTGCTGGGGGCTCAGGCTAACAGCTGCGGGCCACGGCGGAGGGACACCTGAGGTCACCTCCCTAAACCCTAAACCCTAAACCCTAAACCCTAAACCCTAAACACTGAAAAAAACAGAAGGACCCGGCCATTTGGGGCTGGAAAAGCAAACGCTCATAGAGAGAGAGAGAGAGAGAGAGAGAGAGAGAGAGAGAGAGAGAGAGAGAGAGAGACAGACAGACTGTAGAGAGAGAGAGAGAGAGAGAGAGAGAGAGAGAGAGAGAGAGAGAGAGAGAGAGAGAGAGAGAGACAGAGACAGAGACAGAGACAGAGACAGAGACAGAGACAGAGACAGAGACAGAGACAGAGACAGAGAGAGACAGAGAGAGACAGAGAGAGACAGAGAGAGACAGAGACAGAGAGACACTTGTCTCTGTCTCCTTTGTCTCTGCTCTGTCTCCCTGATTATTTTCTCTGTTGCCTTCTGTGTGTCTCATTATGTGTCTCCTTTTTATATTTTGTTTGTCTCCTCAGCTGTCTCCTTTTTATATTTTGTCTGTCTCCTGCTGTCTGTCTCCTTCAGCAGCCGTTGGTTGTTTATGTAGTTGCTGCTTACTGCTTGTCTTTGTCTTTTCTTTTGTTTCTTTTCTTCTCTCTCTATTATCCTTGTCTGTATTCTGTTTTATTATCTTTATCGGCTGTCTGTCTCTGTCTCCGTCTCTGTCTCTGTCTCCGTCTCTTTCTCTGTCTCTATCTCTTTGTCGCTGTCTCCCTCTCTCCTTCTCTGTCTCTCTTTCTATATCTGTCTCTTTCTATATCTCTGTCTCCATATCTTTATTGCCTTATCTCTGTCTCTGTCTTTGTCTTTGTCTCTCTCTTTCTATATCTCTCTCTCTCTCTTTCTATCTCTGTCTCTCTCTTTCTGTCTCTGTCTCTGTCTCTCTATCTCTCTGTCTTTATTTCTTTATCTTTGTCTCTGTCTGGCGGTGTCTCTCTTTTCTTGTTTATTTGTGTGTCTCTTCCTGGCCTCTTACTGTTCTGTCTCTTATTTATTTATTTATTTATTTATTTATTTATTTATTATTGTCTTGTCGGTCTCTTAAACGTCTCCTTCTGGGGATATCTCTTCACAAACCCATGGCAGCAGCAGCAGCAGCAGCAGCAGCAGCAGCAGCAGCAGCAAACGCAACAGTAGCAGCTTCACGTAGCCCCCTTCGGCTCTCTTGTAATATGCTGAATTAAGAGCTGTTAGCTGTTTTAATTTAGAAGTGCATCTTAGGGTTTAGGGTTTAGGGTTTAGGGTTTAGAGATACAGAGGGTGTTTTATGTCTGCTTATTTTTATAAGTGAAGACAGCAGCAGCAAATTGTCTCCTTTGCTGCTGCACTGCAGCGAGACAGCTACACCTCAGCAAACAAAAGGAGACACTTAAGAGAGACAGACAGAGACAAACAAACAAACAAACAAACAAACAAACAAACAAAACAGATAATCTATTACCCACTAAGAAGGCAGCATGCAGCAAAGGAGACAGAGACAGAGAGAAAGGAGACAGAGACAGAGAGAAAGGAGACAGAGACGGAGACAGAAGCAGAGAGAGACAGAGACTGAGACAGAGAAGGAGACAGAGATAGAAGTAGAGACAAAAAGAGATATAGAAGCAGAGAGATAAACAGAGATGTCTAGGGAGACAGAGACAGCAACTAAGACAGAGACAGCGGGTGTCTCCTTAAGACAGAAGCAGAGACAGAGACAACCTCGAGGAGACAGAAAAATCTCTGTCTCCTCTGCTGCAGCCTTTGCTTCTCCTTTAGATAGAGACAGAGGCTGTCTCCTTTAGATAGAGACAGCTACTGTCTCCTTTAGCTGTCTCCTTTAGATAGAGACAGAGACTGTCTCCTCAGTTTAACGACTGTCTCCTTTAAGTACAGACAGAGACTGTCTCCTTGATGCAGAGACACAATTAAACCGTCTTCTCCTTCCTCCTCAGGCACCAAATGCTGCATGCATGCATGCACGCGTGGGGCTGGAGACAAAGAGGCAGCAGCAGAAATTGCTTTGAAGTAGGAGACACTCCTCTGCCTCTTCTTTTATTGTAGCTGCAGAGCTTACTGTCCCTCTGTCTCCTTTCTATGTCTCTAGCTGTCTCCTTCGCTCGTTCTTTTCATTACTCTGTCTAATGCCGCACCTTATATTGTCTCTCTCTCTCTTCTACACCCATGCATGCCTAGCTGCTCAAGTGTCTCCTTTCTGTCTCCTCTCTGTCTCCTCCGTCTAACAGTCTCCTCTCCGTCTCTTCTCATTCACCGTCTCCTATCTGTCTCCTTTCTTTAATTGTCTCTTCTCTGCCTCTTTTCTTTAACTGTCCCCTCTCTGTCTCTTCTCTTTAACTGTCTCCTTTCTGTCTCTTTTGTCTCTCCCACCCCCCGCTGTGTTGGGGAGGGCTGCATTCCGTTGCCCTCGAAGGCAAACGCTTGCATGCACATTACAGTTAGCTGCTGCTAGCTGTAGCTAGCTCTAGCTAGCTGTAGCTAGCTGTAGCTAGCTGTACCCCGTCCTGGCGGTGTGCGCCCCAGCTATCCGTGCATTGCTTGTGTGGGGGGTATAGGTGTATAGGCAGTGCATGCATTGCAGTAGTTTGCTGCTGCTGCTGCTGCAACTACTAGTAGTAGAAGTACTACTACTGCTGCTGCTGCTGCAGCTAGGATCGTCTCCAACCGATCCCCTCCACACAAACCCCACACACTGCACTCTGCAGCGGCTAAGGGCCTCGCGAAAAGCCTCAGCAAGCAGCAGCAACGCTGAAACAAAATAAACAATAACATCAGGAGAAGAAAACGAAGCAGCAGCAGCAGCAACAGCAGCAGCAGCAGCAGTAGGATATACATCTGGAGCGCGAGGACTAGAGGAGCAGCGAGCACCCCAGGGACGAGCAGCAGCAGCAGCAGAAGCAGCAGGAGCAGCAGCACACTACGAGTAATGTGAAATCATTGATAGAAAAGCAAATCAAACAAATTAAATAAATAAACAAACATCTAAACCCTACTTTACAAACAAGACCTGCTGCTGCACGTGGGGTGTATCACCAGCTACTGGGGGGTCGCATACACCTGGAAGGCCCCCCCTTCAGGGCCCGTGTCTTTCGGGGTTTTGTTTGTTAGTTTGTTTATTTTTAAATATAACTAACTCTTTATAATCTTCTTAGATAATACACTTTGTCTCGAACCTGTTCTGCTGCTGCAGCGGCGGCATGCACCAGCAGCAGCAGCAGCAGCAGCAGCCAGAGCAGCAACAGCAGCTGCAGCAGCTGCAGCAGCCAGAATCGCTCATGCCAAGTTTGGGTGTGGGGAGGATCGTCAGCATTATCGATCCCCATATTAACAAGGGAAAGCTCTTCCTGCTGCTGCTGCTAGCATAGTTTGTTGCGGGGGGGCCTGCTGCACATCAACCGCGGTGTGCTCGCAACAGCAGCAGCAGCAGCAGCAGCTGCAGCAGCAGCTGCTGCTGCAGCAGCAGCAGCCAAAAATCCTTCTTTCTGCATTTATTTACAGCCCTTTATTTCCCTGCTATTAGCAGGCCTGTGTACACTCTAGGGTTTGCTGCAGCAGGGGGTGGGATCGCCTCTGCTCTGCAGCAGCAGCTTTAGCAGCAGCAGATTTAGCAGCAGCATCATCACGTGTGTGAACATTAGAGTAAACCTAAGGAATAATCTCTTTGAAACAAACTGCAATCTGCGAGCATTGCTTCTTCCCACACCTCAACGCGTTGCTGCTGCTGCTGCAGCAGCAGGAGCTACAGCAACAGCAGCAGCAACAGCAATAACACCAGCAGCAGCAGCATACAGCAGCAATAGCGTGGATATGCCCGTAGTGTGTGGGCAGTATTAATCAATAAAGGAGGTGTGTGGGGCCGCCTGCCTCTCCCGTGGGGATCGTCTCCGTGGAGCTGGGGATCGGTGGGATCGTCTCCTCCCCGGTTGGGATCGTCCGTGCGGGATCGTTTCTAGTGGGGGGTGTGTACTCTTGGTGGAAGTGTGGGGCCCCACACACCCCTCCGCGGGTTCGGCCCCGGGTTCGTCTCCCAGCTCCAGCTGCAAGGCCCGTGGGGCCTGCAGCAACCCTAGCAGTTAGCTGTAAGAGCAGCAGCAGCAACAGCAGCAGCAGGAGCAGCAGCAGCAACAGCAGCAAATGCATTGAGATGGAAGCCAAATCTGACGGCAGCGCCGCTCTCAGGGCCTCCCCTGAGGAGTCGTGCAGAGAGCGCTGCACTTCTGCTGCAGCAGCAACAGCAGCAACGGAAGCAGCAGCGACCGCTGTTCTTCCTGCTGCTGCAGCAACAGCAGCAGAAGCAACTGCTGCTCCTTCTGCAGCAGCGGCGGCAGATACAATACCACCGACAGTCGGAGCATTTGAGACAGCTTCTCAGCATGCAGCAGCAGCAGCAGCACTTGCTGCTGCTGCTGCTGCTGGTGGGGCTCCCGCTATGTCCCCCGCAGGCCCAGCAGCAGGTGGCGAATGTGCTGCTGCGGCTGCCTCTGCTGCTGCTGCTGCAGTATCAGCAGCAAATTTGGCTGTAGTCACAGCAGCGGGACCAGCTGGGGCAGCAGAGCCAGCCGTAGCAGCTGAATCACCCACAGCAGCAGCAGCAGCAGCAGCAGAGCCACGTGCAGCAGCAACAACGGAACAACCAACAGCAGCAGCAGCAGAAGCACCACCTGCAGCAGCAGCAGCAGAAGCAGGTGCAGGGGGGTCGCCCCTGGTGGTGAGTTCGTGTGGGTCTGCGGCGGCGGTTCAGCAGGAAACGGCAGCAGCAGAAGCAGCAGAAGCAGCAGCAGCAGCAGCAGCTTCTGCTGCTGCTGCAGCACCGCCTAGTGCTTGTCTGGACCCTGCTGAACTTTGCAGGATATTTTTTGTGCAGGTGCAGCAGCTGCTGCCAGATGATGCAGCAGCACTAGCTACAGGAGTGGGGGGAGCAGCAGCAGCAACAGCAGCAGCAGCAACAACAGCAGCAGCAGCAGCAGCAGATGCTGCTGCTGCTGCGGTCAGGGAACCGCGGGATAAGATTTGCGACTTTGAGGCAGACGCCGATGATTCCTCGCTAAACAAAATATCCCTGGAGTACTCCTATGAGGTACCTGCTAGGGTTTAGGGTTTAGGGTTTAGGGTTTAGGGTTTAGAGTTTGTGAGGGTTTATAAGGGTTTATTAGGGTTTAGGGGATGGTGGTTTAGCGTCGTTGGTGGTTTGTTAGGGTTAGCCCTCGTCGCTTGTTTCTTCTCTGTGCATTCTTTAATTACTGCGTAAGGGTTTAGGGTTTAGGGTTTAGGGTTTATACAGTTTATAAGGGTTAATAGTTAGGGTTAATGTTAATAAAAAGGGTTTATTAATATAAATTGTTAATAGTAAAGCGCTTAAACCCTCTACGAAGAAGAAATGCATGAAAAGTTAATTAACAAACTACGCCCATCAAACTAAGGCACAGCAGCAGCAGCAGCAGCAGAAACAGCAGCAGCAGCAGCACCAGCAGCAGCAGCAGCAGCAGCAGCATTACCTGAAAATGAATAGAAATGGATCTATGCATATATATATATATATATATATATCTATATATCTATATATCTATATATCTATATCTACATCTATATCTATATAAATAGATATATAAATATCTACATATCTACATATCTACATCTATATATAAATATATACATCTATATATCTATTTATATATATATATATATATTTATATATTTGCTGCAGGAAGTGTACGCAGCAACAGAAGGGTTTAAGCATTTGCTGGGTTTAGGTGCGTACGGCATGGTGTACCGCGGGTTTATGAAGGACGGCTTGGAGGTCGCAGTCAAGCGGCTTAACGACCCTGCAGAAGCCAGCTTCGAGAGAGAAGTTGTTGTGCTGTCGAAGTTCAGGTAAACATCAGCTTGCTGCTCTTCTTGCTGCTCTTCATGCTGCTGCTCTTCATGCTGCTCTTCTTGATGCTGTTCTTGCTGCTGTTTTTGCTGCTGTTTTTGCTGCTGTTTTTGATGCCGTTTTTGATGCTGTTCTTGCTGCTGTTCTTGCTGCTTTTCGTGCTCCTGCTGCTCTTCTTGCTGCTTCTCCTGCTGCTCCTGCTGCTGTTGTTCTTGCTTCTGCTGTTGGTGATGATGATTGTTAGTGCTGCTGCAGTTGCGGTTGTTTATGTTGGCTGCTGCTGGTGCCTCTACAACTACAGTTATTTGCTGCTACTGCTTATATTTGCTGCTGCTTCAACAATTGCTGCGGCTGTTGGATGGAACTCTGTCCACGGCGCTGCTGTTGCGTATATTTGCTGCTGCTGCTGCTGCTGCTGCTGCTGCTGCTGCTGCTGCTGCTGCTGCTGCTGCGCAGACACCCGAATTTGGTGATATTGTTGGGGTTTGCTCGTCATGGAAAGGACCGATTCCTAATTTATGAGATGATGGCTGGGGGAGACGTCGCGGGGCATCTTCAGAAAGGTTTGTCTTGCTGCTGCTGCTGCTGCTGTTGCTGCTGCTGCTGCTGTTGCTGCTGCTGCTGTTGCTGCTGTTGCTGCTGCTGGAGTCGCTGGTGCAAGAGTTGGTGCTTCTGTTGCTGCTGCAAGAGTTGTTGCTGCTGTTGCTGCTGCAAGAGTTGGTGCTGTTGCTGCTGCTAGAGTTGCTGCAGTAGCAGTAGGGGCCCCTTGCGTTTGCTGCTGACGTCCAGGGGCTTTATTGTTGTATTCAGATTCATCTGTTGCTGCAGCAGCAGTTTGAATTGCAGCAGCAGTTTGTACTTCTCTTCGTTGTTGCAACTGCTGCCAGTTCCGCTACTGCTGCTACTAATCTTGCTGCTGCTTATCATGTTGCTGCTGCTGCTGCTGCTGCTGCTGCTGCTGCAGGGACGCTAACGTGGCTGGATCGGCTGTGCATAGCTCTAGACACCGCAGTGGCTCTGTCTCATCTCCATCGACACTGCCCCACAGTCTATCACCGAGATATAAAGACAGCAAATATATTATTAGATAAACACAAACACGCGAAGGTCTGTCTCTGCTGCTGCTCCTCCTCCTGCTGCTGCTCCTACTGCTGCTCCTGCTGCTCCTGCTGCTGCGTTCAAAACCCAATCCGAGGGTTTCTTGAGACTCTTCTTGGGGTTTCCACGCTTTAGGGTTTAGTACAGTTTAGAATTGAGGGTTTATTAGGGTTTACTAGGGTTTAGGAGGGTTTAGGGTTTAGGGTTTAGGGTTTAGGCGATACCCGAAGTGAGGCAGGCTTGAGCCCGCTCTAAAGGCAATAACAGTCCGTCTCCAGCTTCACCTACTGAATCTAAACCCCTGCTGCTGCTGCTGCTGCTGCTGCTGCTGCTGGTTGTTTAGGTGTCTGACTTTGGGTTGGCTTGTCTTGCGAAGAAGGGGACAGGGCGATTCCCAGTGCGACAGACAGCGGGGACAGTTGGATATGCAGACCCTAAGTATATTGCAAGGTAAGACTGTCTCCTTTCTGTCTCCTTTCTGTCTCTTTGCTGTCTCCTGTCTGTCTCCTTTCTGTCTCTTTGCTGTCTCCTGCCTGTCTCTTTGCTGTCTCCTGTCTGTCTCTTTGCTGTCTCTTGTCTGTCTCTTGTGTCTCCTTGTTGTCTCTTATTTGTCTTTTTATTGTCTCTTTACTGTCTCCTTTTTGTTTGTCTTTGCAGTCTCTTAGTTTCTTCGTTTCTATCTCCTTACTGTCTCCTTTCTGTCGCTTTGCTGTCTCCTTGTTGTCTCTTATTTGTCTCTTTCCTGCCTCTGTTGTCTCCTTGTTGTCTCTCTGCTGTCTCCTTCTGCATCTCCTGCTGTCTCCTCCTCCTCCCGTTTGCCTCCACATCTCTTTTGTTTGTCGCTTTGTTTCGTTTGCTGCTGCTGCTGCTGCTGCTGTTGCTGCTGCTGTCTGCTTCGCATGTCCTTCTCTCTGTACTGTCTCCTCTGCTTTTGTGTCTCCTCTGTCTCTTCTTCATTCTTTGGGCACCTCCGCATACCCCTTCTTGACTGTTGCTCTATTGGTGCTGTTGCTGCTGCTGCTGCTGTTGTTGCTGCTGCTGCTGCAGCTCCGTGGTGTCTGAGATGGCTGAGGTGTATTCGCTGGGGATGGTTATGTTAGAACTGCTCACTGCAAAGCCGCCAGTCGTACTCGTGAGTTTTGCTGCTGCTGCTGCTGTTGCTGCTGCTACTGCTGCTGCTGTTGTTGCGGCTGCTGCTGTTGTTGCTGCTGCTTTTGATGTTGCTGCTGCTGTTGTCGTAGCTACTGTTGCAGCCGTTGTTGCTTTTGTATGGCTTTCTGCATGCGCTGCAACCCTATTGTTACACCTGCAGCAGCAGCAGCAACAGCTGCTGCTGCTACTGTTGCTGCAACTGTATGTATTGTTGTAGCATGTACGTGTGTCTCTGCAGCAGCAATTGGTTATATGTCTGTATTAATTTTAAAGTTTATTTTTAAATCAGTTGCATATAATATGTTTGTGCATGCATCTTCTGATTTCTGTTTCAATTATGGGGCTGTCTCCTGTCTCCTTTCTGGTGTCTGCTGTCTCCTTTTGCTGCTGCAGAACTCTGATGGTTCTTTAACATTTGTGCTAGCATTCTTAGCTCGAGACGTGTCTCGTCTACTTAGAGCAGCAGACGCTCGAGCGCAGTTTCCTTCTTCAGTTTTGCATACATTTGCTGAGTTAGCAGTTAGGTGAGGCATTTGGGGCTTGCATGCATGCAGACACAGATAAAAAAGCTGACTCTGCTGCTGCTCCTGCTGCTGTAGGTGACAGTAGTGGTGGTGGGGGTGTTTGGTATTCTTGTAGGTTTGGTTCAGGAGTAGGGTTTAGGGTTTAGGGTTTAGGGTTTAGGGTTTAGGGTTTAGGGTTTGTGGTTGTCTGCAGCTGTATCCGCGACGATGATACGAAGCGTCCCTCCTTTCAGAGTATTGTGAGGCAGCTTCGATGTTTAAAAGAAGCAGCAACAAGGTGAGGAGTGCTGTGTTTTGCTGCTGCTGCTGCTGTTTGCTGCAGCTGCTGCCGCTGCTGCTGCTCGCGTTGTCTCCTCTTGTCTCCTGCGGTGTCTGTCTCCTTTTTGTCTCTTCTTCTTTTCTTGCTCTGTCTCTTTTTGCTTATTTCTTATCTTTTGCGGTTTGCTCTTTTCGTCTCCTCCTTAGTGTGGTAGGTGCAGTTGTATGTCTCTGTCTCTCTCTTGCTGCTGCATTAGTCTCTCTCCAGCGCCTGTCCCTCTAAACCTGCTGCTGCTGCTGCTGCTGCTGTGTGTGTGCTGCTGCAGTCTGTGCATCAACCCCAAGTCTTTCTCTTCAAGAGATTGGGGGGTGCTGCCTCTGCTGCAGCGGCACCTTCCAGTGGGCCCCACAGTCCCTGAGGCTCTGAGGCTGCTGAAGCAGAGGCCTCCTTTGCCTGCTGCTCCTGCTGCTGCTGTTCCTGCTGCTGCTGCTGCTGCTGCAGCCTCAGCAGCAGCAAAGCCATCGCGGCACCAGCAGACATCTGGTAAGCCTGACGACGCTATAACACACTTTTTGCTGTTCATTTGGGTGTATATACAGCTCCACGTCACACCCTTCTGCTGCTACTGCTGCTGCTGCTGCTGCTGCAGGTACCTCAGCTCAGGAAGGGGAGAAGGCTATGGCTGCCTCTGCTGCAGACAGAAAAGACGTCACTGTGGGGTTGTCTCCCCCTGCAGCAGTTTGTGCGGAAGACAACAACTGCAGCAGCAGCAGCAGCGACGCCGACGAGCAGCAGCAGCAGCAGCAACAACAACAGCAGCAGCAACAGGATGTGGTGGTGAAGCAGGAAGCAAGGATTGAAGGACAGCCAAGTGCTGCTGCTGCTGCTGCTGCTGCTTCTGTTGGGGTTATTGAGGCCCACGCTGCTGTCAGTCCCCAGCTATCTCACACTTCCAGGGAAGCAGCAACAGCAGCAGCAGCAGCACAAGCCCCTGCAGCTCCTGCTGCTGCTGCTGCTGCGTGCGTTCCCGCTGCGGTGAACCTGACAGCAGCAGCTAATGCAGGCTACGTTGCTGCTGCAGCACCTCATTGTGCTGCGGCACCAGCGAGGGCGCCGACAGCAGCAGCTGCTGCTGCTGATGCTGCAGCAGCAGGCGCAGCAGCAACTGCAGCAGCAGAGTCGGATGTGTCTCCTGCTGCTGCATGCTCGGCAACGGCAGCAACAAAAGTAGCAGCAGCAACAACAACAACAACAGGGGTTGGTGTTGCTTCGTGGACCTCTGCATCGTGTACAGGCAAGGAAGCAGCAGCAGCAGCAGCTGCTGCTGCTGCTGCCTCACGGCAGCACTCCCGCAGCACGGGGTCTCTATGCAGAGACACCGGAGACACTCAGCGCGACTTGCAGGAGGAGCAGCTAAGACATGAGTTGGAGGTGCAGCAGCAGCAGCAGCTGCAGCAGCACAAGCAGCAAAACTGTCGCTTCGCTCTCCCCCACACAGTTACAGTTATAAAGGGAGAAGACACCGGAGACATGCCAGCAGCAGCAGCAGCAGCAGCTTCTGCTGCGGCTGCTGTTGCTGCTGCTGGAGCGCAAGGCACAGCTGTGTCGATGCCTTCATGCGCAGCCTTCTTGGCGGGGCCTGCAGCAGCAGCAGCAGCAGCAACTAGCAGTGGAGACAGCGTGCTGCTTGCTGCAGCAGCATGGCCTCGCAGCGAGCAGCAGCAGCAGCAGCAACAGAAGCAGAAACGGCAGCGCCGGAAGGGAAGCAGGAAGCAACAGCAACTGCTAGGGGGTGAAGGAGAGTGTCGGCTGCTGCAGCAGCAGCTGCAGCAGCAGCTGCAGCTGCAGCTGCAGCAGCAACGGAGACTCCGTGGATGCACCGCCAGCACCACCAGCACTATGACGAATGGGGGCAGCATCAGCAACATGAGTAAGTGCGGCAGCAACATCTGCAGCAGCAGCAGCAACGGCTGGAGCAGCTGCTACAACAGCAACCACAGCATTCATTCAGCTGTCTTCTTGTCAGCCAACCGTCTGCTCCGTTACGCAGATTTCTTAGGGGAAGCAGCAGCAGCAGGCAAGAGCCCCAGCAGCAGGGCTTCAACGCGCAGCGGTGTGCTGGCTGCTGCTGCTGCTGCAGCAGCAGCAGCAAGCGCGGGAGTCAGCTCTCCTGCAGGAGGAGCCTCCCCTTCAGCAGCAGCAGCAGCTGCTGCTGCTGCAGCAAGAAAAGACAGCACTCGCTTGCTTCGCTCCGTTGCTGCAGCACCTCTAGGCAGAGTCGTGCGCCGTACAGACGCCCCTGTCTCCTCCAACGAGCAGCAGCAACTCCAGCAGCAGCAGCAGATGCAGCTGAAGAAACAGCAGCATGGGCAGCAGCAAAAGGTGCTGCTGCAACAACAGCAGCAGGTGCAGCAGCAGCAACAGCAGCAGACGCAGGACCTGCAGCAGCAACCGCGGATGCACCAACAACAAATGCAGCAGCAAATGCAGCAGCAGCAACAGCAGGTGCATGTGCTGCAGCAGCAAAAAGGGCATCAAGTTTTGCTGCTGCAGGGACAACGGCGAGTTGTCTCCTCTTGTGCTCTCGTGCTGCCGCTCAGCAGAGGGGTAACGGAGGGGAGACAGCAGCCAGCAGCAGCAGCAAATGCAGCAGGCCCGTCTGTAGCGGCAAATGCAGCAGCTGCAGCACCAACAGCAGCAGCAGCTCCTGTTGCTGCTGCAGCACCAAGCAAGCAGACGAATGCGTCGCCGCCGCAGATACTGCTGCACTGCCAACCCCAAAGCGGCAGCAACGCAAGCAAAGAGGATTTGATAGGTGCAGGGCAGCAGCAGCAGCAGCAACTGCAGCAGCAGCAGGAGCAGCAGCAAGAGCTGGTGCATGCTGCAGCGAAGACACCGCTGGGGTTTGTCTCGTCGCTGCTTAGCAGTCTAAGCCTTGCAGGCAAAGTCGAACGAAGGCCCCAACAGCAAAGCAGCACAGCAGCAGCAGCAGCAGCAGCAACGACACCAGGAGGGGCAGCAGCAGCGGAGCAGCAGCAGATCTACGGGGCTGAAGGGCTTCACGCTGGAGCAGCTGCAGCAGCAACGGGCGCACCAGCAGCAACATCTGCAGCTGCTACTAACCCCTCATGGCGGCTGTCTCCCACGTCTATAGAAGCAAAAGAAGCAGCAACAGCAGCAAGAGCAGCAGCAGCAAAGGCAGCAGCAGCTGCAGCAGCTGCAGCAGCTGCTGGAAGTGTGCGGCGCAACGTCATCGTCACACCCCCTGCTGCAGCGGAGACACACCAGCGGCAGCTACCCGCTTTGCTGCAGCAGCTAGAGCAGCAGAAGCAGCAGCAGCCAGAGACAATCGAATGTTGGGCACCGCCAGCAAAGGAGGGGCCCAGCCGACTTGCAGCAGACTTAGCAGCAGCTGCAGGGAAGGCAGCAGCAGCTGCTGCTGCTGCTTCGAGTCCTTCAGGGGTCCAGAAACAACAGCAGCTGCAGCAGCAACAACAACAGCAGCAGCTGCAGCTGCAGCAAAAGCAGCAGCAACTGAAGCAGCTGCAACTGCAACAACAACTACAGCCAAAGCAGCTGCAGCAGCAACTGCAGCTGCAGCAGCAACTGCAGCAGCAGCAACTGCAGCAGCAGCAGCTGCAGCAACAAAAGCAGCAGCTGCAGAAGCAGCAGCTACAGCAACAACAGCAGCAGCTGCATCAACAACAGCAGCTGCAGCACCAACTGCAACAGAAACAGCAGAAACTGCAGCAGCAGCAGATTCAGCAGGTGCTGCTGCAGCGCAGCGCGACTCTATCGAAGCTGCAATCCTTTTTTTAAGTCTGCAGCTGCTGCCTAGACACCCCAACAGTGAACAGACAGTGGGGGGACTTCGATTAAATATATTTTAATAATTATATTAATACGCTTAGCCAGTATTTGCACTTTGCAACGCATGCATGCATGCGTGCATGCATGCATGCATTAGCGCATGCATTCACGGTGTTGTGGTGTACATCCACTTTATGCATGCACTTTGCACAGCAGCAGCAGCAGCAGCAGCAGCAGCTCGCGCCGCGCTTGCGAGCTGTTCTGCGCAGCCTCGTCAGCATGCATGCATAGGAATGCATGCGTTCGAGGTAGGGGTTTTTACGGGGCTGCGACTGAAGGCGCTGCTGTCTGCACTGAGCAGCGGCAGTCGGTGTTTGCTGTGGGCCCCCTCAGGCCAACGAATGCAGTTGCCTTCACTAGCTAGCTAGCTAGCTAGCTGGCTGGAGAGCTAGATGGCTAGCTAGCTGGGTAGCTAGCTAGCTAGCCAGGGACCTGTGAGGAGGGCCCACCCCTGCCGGCAAATTTAGTTTGTTTTGCTTGCTAGTTAGATAGCTAGCTGGCTAGCTAGCTAGTTATCTGGCTAGCTACCTAGCTAGCTAGATAGCTAGCTGGCCAGCTAGCTAGCTAGCTAGATAGTCAGCTAGCTAGCTAGGTAGCCAGCTAGCTTGCGGGGAGCCTCTGTCTGCTGTAGGGTCTGCCTGGAGACCCTAGGGAGGGCCTGCTGCAGCAGAAGCAGCTTAGAGGGGGAGACAGAGACTGCAGCAAAGGAGACTCTTCATCTCTCCCTCATTTGGTTCGTACTTGTCTCTTTTTCATGTTTTGTTTCTTTGTCTTATTTTATATTTAAACCTGCAGCTAGCGGAGGTGCACTCTTCTCTATAGACACACTTGACGAGCTCCCTATACACCTAAATAGGTGCCTATACACCTAAACAGGTACCTGTACACCTGAGGAGGTGCCTATACACCTGAAGAGGCGCCTGTCCATCTAAAGAGCCGCCTGCCTATACGCCTAAAAAGGTGCCTTTACACCTGAAGAGCTGCCTATACACCTGAAGAGCTGCCTATACACCTAAACATTCCCCACCCATTTGATGTTAGATGCTGCAGAGTCTGCAACCGGACACACCACCACTACACACATATTCACGTGTGTTCATTTATATATATATGTAGATGTATAATGCACCTGTATATATATATATATATATGTAGTTATCTACATACATCTATATGTGTATATAAGCATCCGTATACAAATGTGTATGTATGCTTACGGGTATTCATGCACGCACTAAAATATATATATATATATATGCATGCATTTGTGTATCTATAATATATATATATATATATACATATATATATATATATATGCATGCATTTGTGTATCTATAATATATATATATATATATACA